CCGGCTCCACGGCCTCCCGCTGCCAGGGGGCGCTGCGGGATCCGGGCCGGGGCTGTGACGGGAGCGCCCTGCCTCAGCCTCGGGCGCGCTTAGCCGCGTGCGCGGCCTCCGGGTGGAGACGGCCTCTGCGTGCCTCGCCTCGCCTCGCCTCGCCCCGCGGCTCAGGCTCCGGATGGTGGAGACGTGGGTGAGCGCCAGGAGCTGGTGCTGTTCCCGGGCTGCAGCCCCACGCCCTCTGCTCCAGCTACGCCTTGGCGTGCGGGTTTCGCCGTGTCCGATGAGGCTGAAGTTGGTTCCTTATTCCCGGTTACCGGTTTCTTTTTCAAACCTAACCTAGACCCAATAAAAACTTGTTATTATTGCATTCCACATCCTAAAGAGAGAGAATTACATTAGCTATGCATATGTACTAATTAATATGTAAAATAATATCCCACATCAAGTACAGAGCCGTAAATGAACGTCAGATTAGGATGGGATTATGGGGCAAAATACTTCTTGGCCTACCCCAAATTTCATGGCGATGCCACTGGGGGACTGTCCCAAAGACCCCTGACCACAGTCCCACCTGGCCCAAAGCACGGTTTGGCCGTGCCGGGCTGCCAACTAACAGCCCCCGTGCCCACTATAAGTATAATGGCTTGAATAAGGAACTGGCGTTCAGGCTGGGATTATGGCTAGAAATTGTGCTTGGGCCACCCATCAGAATGGGTGACTGTCCTGGACATCTGTGACCAGAGACTCGCCTGGCCCAAAGGGCGGTTGGCCGTGCCAGGCTGACAACAGACAGCACCCCAGCCATTTTGCTAAATACATGGAACTGAAGAAGGAACTGGATTTTGGGCTGGGATTACAACCAAGCAATCCTGCTTGGGCCACCCCAGACCATGTCTCTATGCCACCAGGGGATGCTTCTGGACATCTCTGAACAGAGATTTGCCCAGCCCAGAATGCATCTGGCCATGCCGGGGTGCCAAAAGAGAGCCCCCCAGCCACTGTGCTAGGTTAATGAACCTGAATAAGGAATTGGATTTTGGGCAGGGATTATACCCAGAAATCCTTCTTGGGCCACCCCAGACCATATCTCTGTGCCAGCCCAAAAAACAGTTCCTTATTCAAGCCATTATACTTAGCGCAGTGGCTGGGGGGGAGGGGGGGTGTTAGCAGCCAGGCAAGGCCAAACCGCCTTTTGGGCCAGGCAAGTCTCTGGTCAAAGGTGTCCTCCGGGGGCACAGAGGTATGCCATAGGGTGGCCCAAGAAGGATTTCTAGCTGTAAACCTAGCCCAAAAGCCTGTTCCTTATTCAGGTCTATATATTTAGCATAGTGGCCGGGGTACTGTCGTTTGGCAGCCTGGCACAGCTGGGCAAGTCTCTGGTCAGGTGCACCTGGTAGAGTCCCCTGGTCGTGCAGAGATATTCTGATGGGTGACTCAAACAGATTTTCTAGCCATAATCCCAGCCCAAAAACCAGTTCTTTATTCAGGTCCATATACTTAGCACAGTGTCGGGGGGGGGGTGTCAGTTGGCACCCTGGCATGGCCAAACCGCCTTTTGGGCTGGACAAATCTCTGGTCACAGATGTCCAGGAGAGTCCCCTGGTGGCACAGAGAGGTGGTCTGGGGTGTCCCAAGGAGGATTTCTGGGTATAATCCCATCCCATAATCCAGTTCCTTATTCGGGTCCATGTATTTAGCACGGTGGCTGGGGTGCTGTTAGTTGAGGCCCTGGCACGGCCAAACCACATTTTGGGCCAGGCAAGTCTCTGGTCACAGATGTCCAGCAGAGTTCCCTGGTGGCACAGAGATGTGTTCTGGAGTGGCCTAAGAAGGATTTCTGGGTATTATCCCAGCCCAAATTCCATTTGATTCTTCAGGTCCATTAATTCAGGACAGTGTCCGGGGTGCTGTATTTTGGCACCCTGGCAAGGCTAGACCATGTTTTGGGCTGGGCAAGTCTCTGGTCAGAAATGTCCAGGAGTGTCCCCCGGTGTCCCAGAGGTGCAGTCTGGGGTGTCCCAAGGAGGATTTCTGGGTATAATCCCAGCCCACAATCCTGTTCCTTATTCGGTTCCATGTATTTAGCACAGCAGCTGGGGTGCTGTCTATTGTCAGCCTGGCATGGCCAAACCACCCTTTGGGCCAGGCAAGTCTCTGGTCAGAGATGTCCAGGACAGTCCCCTGGTGGCACAGAGGTATTCTGATGGGTGGCCCAAGCACAATTTCTAGCCATAATCCTATCCTGAAAGTCAGTTCCTTATTCAAGCCATTATACTTAGTATAGTGGGGATGGGGGCTGTTAGCTGGCAGCCTGGCACAGCCAAACCGTGCTTTGGGCCAGACGGGACTGTGGTCAGGGGTCTCTGGGACAGTCCCGCAGTGGCATCGCCATGAAATTGGGGGTGACCCAAGAAGTATTTTGCCCCATAATCTCATCCTAATCTGACGTTCATTTAGGGCTTTGTACTTGATGTGGACTACTGTTTTACATATTAATTAGTACATATGCATAACTAATGAAATTCTCTTTCTTTAGGATGTGGAATTCATTAATAACAAGTTTTTATTGGGTCTAGGTTAGCTTTGAAAAAGAAACCGGGAACCAAGAATAAGGAGCTGGGAATAAGGAATAGGGAACCGGGAATAAGAAATTGGGAATAAGGAACCAATTTCAGCCTCATCTGTGTCTGAGGAGGGGTCTGAGGGGTCTGCGAAAGAAGGATTGAACACCCAATGGGTCTGTGCCTCCAGTTGGCATTTTTTTTGACTGGTCCGTCAATGAGAAAAAAATGCTGCCCTAGGATCCGGGTCCATACATGGTATTTACGGGTCCGTGAATGAGAAAAACCTCTGCCCTAGGATCATGCCGAGACCAAAGCAGTTGGCTCTGGGTGGGCAGCGCATTTCCTCCACAGGCAGAAGGGATCTGCCTTGAACTGAGGACCGCGTTGGGGCTGGTGGACCTGTCAGGAAAAACCTCCATGTTTCTGTGTTTTTGCTGAAAAGGAAGTAAAATTCTCCGTGGTTTTTGTTACGCTACAACGGGTTCTTTCCCTAGAGGCAGTGATTCTCCGGGGTTCCTGGAGACCTTTCAGGGGTGCCTGCCACACAGTGTTAGGTAGCACTGTTAGGTGCGCAAACATGATCCACCCAGAGATTTAAAAAATACAAACCCAGAGTTGTGGTCTTTCTGAGTTCTTTACCACAGAAAAACTGCTGAAGGGTTTTTCTGTAGGCAAAACTAAGATTAGCATTTTTCAAAGGGTGCCTGGAGTGTCTCATCACCTATAGAAGTTGAGAGCCACTTTCCCAAAGTAGCTGCTGAGGTGCTCTAGGAAACAAATCAAAAACCTTATTGAGGCCAATGGAAAGAGCCTGAGTTCATCCATACAAAGGCCGATCAGAGCGGAGAATAAACACAGTCAATAACATACTAGTACCTAGTGCCCATGATAGTCACTGAAAATGCCTTTATTTCAAAAGACCCTATGAGTACATGAATTAACAAAATAGTTTATATTTAAATTGATAGAAATGTGAAATATGCAGACATCTTTACTGAATTTACATTGTTGATAGCCTGTTGATCTTCTTTACTGGAACATAAAGATCTCTAAGTGCCAGGTAATTTAGATTATAAATACTTTTAGCATTCCAGCTGTGGAAGAAGAGAAAGACTATTCCTTGAAAATGCATATTACCTACTATTTGCACTGATGCTAATGGCTATTAAGTGCTTGCATCAGGTGGAAGTTGTTTGGTACAGAATTTAATTACTGCAATGGAAACTACTCCATATTTACCAAATAAGTCATCCACAACATTGCTAAAGGTAGGGTGTGTATGTGGCTACTGCACACAGCCCCTACACCCAGGTAACTGCATGTAATACAAGCATATCAAAGGCTAAAGTCCATTCTCAGTGTACAGGGTTATAAACTTGAAAGTTTTTTGGAAGATTAAATGCTTTTATTTTCCTGAAGGTTATGGAGCAGCAGAGCTCTCTCAGCTTCTGTTCCAGTCTCAAAACTGTATTAATTTGGGGTACACCAGTCCTTCCTGTGGATGGGTGTGCTTGGTGATTAACACTCCATCTCCAGTCCTCCCTATGTGGTAGCATGAAGAAAGCCACTGAGGATCTGGGCATTGTAGCACATGTGTTCCCAAGAGCATGAGCTGCCAAATCCACCCTGCCCTTAACACTGGGCAACCACACTAGCCCCATTGTAGCACCCAGAGGGCTGGGCATGAATTGCCTCTAATTGAAGATTTACGTGCAACTTGTGTATTTGGGACTAGAGTTCAGTTCTGCCTGTGATGTAATTACAGGTGTCATTCCCAGTGGAACAGAGGGCAGGACTCTGGCTCCTACACTGGTCCCTATTATATAGACCAAAACCTATAAATACTTGATGAGACAACCTTTTTGCCCTATGTCTGCACTTAATATTGATTAGAAAACAGGGAAGACGCTTGAGCATTACGGAAGTTTGCCTGGTGTGCTAATTCCAGTAGTACTAAGATTATTCACATTACTTTGTGCTTTTATAGAATTTTTTTTCCTGTTTGAAGCATAGCACAAAGATTTCATAACCATTTGTTTGTTCTCTTTTTACAGAAGAACTTTATGTGTAGCTGCTAACCCCACACAGGTAAAC